ACAAACTCAACCCGGAATTTTCCACAATTAGAATAGGGTTTTGGGGATTCCTTACTATAATTATCGTATAATATAACCCCAAACCCTATTCTAGCTATTAAGGCCCCTACCTTAGTTGTAGCCAATCTATAGGAACCCTCAGGAAAAGGAGGCTCGCAAGGACAAAGTGCTGCACTGGGGTGCACAATGAAATGCTCCACCGCCGCAAACCACGAGTTTCTGGAAAGTGGTGGCGATGGTCAACTGGGTTTCAAGATATAGGGGTTTCCGAAAATAGGGGACCCTGATATAGTACCCTAAATACCAGGATCCTTATTATAAGGTCCCGAGGCTTCCTATCATGCGGTTTGGGGTAACTGCAGCAGGCCCCCACGCTTCAGGATTCTTGGAGGCATGAGCTCTCCTGCCTAGGGCCTAGGTGTTGTCGGGAGCTAGCTCGCCATGTCGGAGTTATCACGCCAACATTCAGGAATCCGAGGATAAGCCAGGGCCCAGCGCTTAGGGTTGCAGGGCCTATTCTGCCTCGTGTCTTCGACTTTGGAGCTGATTGAACATCAACTCCCACGCGCAACATTCCAAATTCCGCAAAATGAACTCTTTCTGCCCCTGAGCCGGAGGTGGAGTTGACAGTGCTCTGTGTGGGGGATTCCGATTCCGCGTCGGGGTTTAAGGGTTTCGGGCTTGGTCTTGAGAGGTGCGAGACAAAGCTGTCACTGTGCAGGTCACCGTCTGGGTTTGCGACATCTGGTCAAACAGTCCTCAATCCGAAGATGGTCTCCGGAAGTTACACATGTTCCTGGGCACACCTTACCATGTTTCAATGCTGCAGCAATCTCATTATCTCTGGTCCTCCGACGCCGGATAGGCCTGAATACCTAGAATGTGTTTTGGCGAAGAAATCTACTAGGGAACCGCGAACCGAAAAACTGCGAGGTATTCAGGCCCCTATCAAGTCCTCAAAACCCTATAATTCCAGAAAAGGCCCCTCCATGGCCTAAACCTCAACCCTACACTTACACTCCAAACCCTCAAAAAAAAGCCCCTCCGATGGCCTCTTGGATCTGTCTCTCCTTCTGATCTGCCATGGCTTGGAACCCAAGGCTGCTGAATCCGCCCGAGTGCTCTTCTTCAAAACATCTGAAGCCTGTGTCTTTTGGATAAGATTATCTATACGACGAGCCTCTATAACCCTATAACTACAACTACAAACTCTGATATTTCAGGCAGAAGTGAAAACTAGTCTCAGCTAGAACAGGATTGTGGTCGCATGTTCGGTCCCACAGGTAGTTGAACGGGTTGGACGGGCCACCTTAGAGAGGTAGTCTTGATCACGGTGCTTCGAAAGCTAGCAGTCTGAATCAGTGATGCATGGAGAGATGGTGGCTGCAATTTCGCGTTTCTGTCAGAGGCAAGCCAAAGCCCAAAACCCTAAACCCGGCTGGAGTTCGGCTTTGAATGCATGGTTGCGGGAAGCTGTTCGGTTCTAACCTTCTGCGGTGGCTTCGTGGGCCAGTGCTCGTGGCTTTAGGGGAGTAGAACATAGCATAACACAATAAGATATTACAGTGTAGTAAGATCAATTATTGTAGATTCTATCTATTTATCTACCAACCAACCAACCAACCAACCAACCTACCTACCTACCTACCTACCTACCTACCTATCTATCTATCTATCTATCTATCTATCTATATATATATATATATCTATCTATCTATCTGTCTGTCTGTCTGTCTGTCTGTCTATCTATCTATCTATCTATCTATCTATATATACACACACACATAGGTATAGATATATAGGAACCTTGAAGGGCACGTATGCGATGTCTAATTCTCCAGACCGCTCTTGCTGGCCACTCCGGAGGAGACCTCTCACATGTTTTTTGTTCCCTCATGGCTTCCAGGCCACATCTCAGTGCGACGAAGCCTAGAGCTTCCGCGCGCTTGCATTAACTGGACCCAGACGGCTTAGGGTTTACCCAGGTTTAGGGTTTAGGGAAGCTGCGAGGCCGAAATAATCAGGCGGTACACAATGTCGCGTATTGATCTAGAACCTAGCCCCTGTGCGGAAAGGTTTTTGTCTCCTCCAAACAACCTGGCATTTGCAGTTTGAGGCAAGATCGGATGTCGGGAATCATGGGTCTGGGACACCTGCAAAGAAGGGTCCAGGTTTAGGGATTGAATGTAGGGCTTTGGGTACAGGAGTAGGGCCAAGAAGACTGCCGGAGTAGATGGGTCAGTTATAGGTTCCTGGAAATCTGGGAGGCCTTTAGGACTATAGGGAAGGCACTGCAAATTGGGATCAGAACTGCCCCCTTCCCTCGGAACTGAATCTACAATTCAAGCTTTAACAGCCGGGCTTCTCTGGGTCCATCTAGGCTTGTCTCTGCACCGCAGGGGGTGCAAGTTGATCAAGGGCACCGAGCTTCGCTCGCGACAAAGGTTGCAAGTGCCCTCTACGCCCTACGCCTTCAACCTCCTTCACCTCCATCCGACCCCTGGGTTCTTGTTAAGGGACTTGATTTAAGTTACCATAGTAGGGATCTANNGGTAACTTAAGCTAGATCCCTTAACAGGAACCCAGACCCACCGAAATCCAGAGTCGAAGAGTTCTCAAACAACCGAAAGGCCGTAGCCTGGAGCGGCCCGGCTTTCTCAGAGCCTGGTGCGAGGTCTGCGGCTCCCGAACTCTGATCCGTTCATGCCACAAGCCTAGCGACGCACAACCCCCCCCCCCCCCCCCCAAGCTTCAAAATCTACGGCAGTGCAGCAGATCAGTTGGCTTGAGGCCAAGACCGGCACCTAGTCTTCTGCTTGGAGATCCTCCGCCTCCTGTATCTCTGTGAGCTCCGTTTGCCCCCCTCCTGCAAAGAAGAGCTTTGGGGCGCTTCACGGCTGAAGGGTTATGGGTTATGGCCCTTCTCAGCCTTATCAGTTTCGACAAAGTAGAGGAGCTCAAAAAGCCTTGCCAGCTGACTCTTACAAGGTTAAGAATTCGAGGCTCGGATAGGTTGAAGACATGGCAGGTCGAGACAAGAAAGAAGATGGGTTCAAGGCCCAGGGGTTAATTCGCTGATTTCCGCAGTAGGGTCGGGTTCCTAGGCGACCTTGCCCAACCTCAATTCGGAGTTGCTGGCGCAAGGAAAAGAAGATGGGTGACAGCACAATGCGAGGATGCGGATATTGAAGGGATGGACAACGGCCGACCATGATTCATTCATTATGGCATCATAAGGATTATATGCATCTAGGATGCTCGATGGTGAGAAAGGCGCACGAAGAACGAGGGCTTATGCTGCACCCGGCCTGGGGCGATCACAGAGATCGGGTTCCTGCCCAGAAGCTTCGCCGGAGTTTGCGATCGGTGCGTGCTTAGGCTGTTCTCGATCGTTACAAATGTACTTAGTTGCTGAGTTCATAAGCACAAAAAAATGTACACTTTCAGTTCCATAAGGGATCATATTATCCCGAAAAGGTTATCGTGTAGTAGTTCAGCTACTAAGCTTAACGCTCTGCACAAAACGGCTCTCGGGGGCATCAAGGAATGACCTGCCAGTCATTCTGATCATCATCGCAGCGGGGTCGCTCGGGGTGAAGAGGTTCCGGGCCCATGATAAAACAGGTTCTGCACTCTAGCAGACTCTAGGGATTCAAGATCCGATCATGTAACATGTATGTGTATGCATATATACATACATACATATATATATATATATAGGTATCACAACAAGACAGACACACATATGTGTATACATATATACATATACATACATATACATACATATACATACATATACATACATATACATACATATACATACATATACATGTATACATGTATACATGTATACATATATACATATATACGTATATATATATATACATATATATATATAGATATATATAGATATACACATACATATGAGGCGTATAAATGTATATACACATACATAAGCACATATATATATATAGATATACATACATATCTATTTATACTTACATTCACATGTATCTTCATAGATAGATAGATCGATTAGATTAGATTAGATTAGATTAGATTAGATTAGATTTAGGTTAGATTAGATTAGCTTAGATAGGTAGACAGATAGATAGATAAACAGATTTGATAGACAGATAGATAAATATACGACAAGAACCCAGCTCCCTTCCACTTCCCTTCTCCAAGACCCCATCTCAGCACTCGGCGGCTTCACAATGAACTCCGGGGCGGCTTTGCACTTTGACGCTTGGGACATACGCCTGGAAGCACCGGAGGCCACAGATCGATGAAGAAGGCTTCAGGGTTTCGAGGTTTGGAAGGTTTGGGGTTTAGCCTTTGGGGCAAAAGAGGTTTAGGGATTTTGGGGTCTCAGGCTTCGTAGTTGCTACTGAGCTGGCTTCTCTGCTCGACATGTAGTTGCTACTGAGCTGGCTTCTCTGCTCGACATGTACTGTAGCTTCGAACGATCTTTTCCACTCTAGTCTCGAGATGGGGCTAAGCCGTCCCCATCCGCGTCACTACCACTTTAAATCCAAAGTCTATTCCATGTTGTGGTCAGGCTCTGCCGCCATCCGACTCGCAGCTCTGTCTCCTCAAAAATGCACTGATGAAAACTGAAAGGGAGCGCAATTTTCGGTTCGCAAAACAAAAGACTCGAGCTGCAGAGCTTCGGGAAGAATGCTCCTGAAAACCCCCTACTTGCAATCGAAACTCCATAGATTGACCCGGAATAGACACGTTCTTCCAGTCTGCGAAGCTCTACGATCTTTCGGATGAGTCTTGCATCTTCTGATTCCCATACTGTACCTTGGGCCCCCGGAGGTCGCAGAGGCTGAAGTACATCGAAACTAGTAAGGAATCCAGCATCCGGGCAAGAATCCCCAAAACATTTATATCACACACTTTTCTAGCACTCTCTAGGAAGAATGCATGCTCATGCACAACTTCCCCACCCAGATTCATATGCTCCTAACACTCTTCTCTGCAAAGTTTATCAGCAAGATTGCAGTAAGAGCAAACGGACGCCCGATTCTTGCGACAGGATCGAGAAACATCAAAAACACAAATGCAAGGTTTTCTTTACAACCTACCAACAAAAGGTATGCTAAAACACATCGATACGTGCAGTGACTCACAAAGGTCTTGGGCCCCACAGGCTCCCTTGAGCGCCTGTTCTTCGTCTGCTCCAGGTAGATCCTCGTAGCTTTCAGCATCGCGCCTCGTTCGCCCATGTCCTCCCCAGAGAGCCCAATACCACTTAATTAAGGAATATACCTTAAATCATAGGGGTCTTAATATTATGATTTAAGGTATATTCCTTAATTAAGGGGTATTGGGCTCTCTGGGTCCAGCTGTTTTTGAGGGTTAGGGTGTCGGGAGTATTTCTGTCCGGTTCCAGGCGAGGTCTCCCCCAAGATCAGTCTTGGCAGGAGAATGTAGGAAACCTTGGGTCTTTACTAGGGTTCTTAATAGGAACCCTAATCTAATCCGGGTTTTATTACAGTAGGGTTCTTAATAGGAACCCTCATCTACTCCGGGTTATAGGGCCAGGGTTTCTTAATCAGGTTCCTACGTTATGCGTTCAGCGGCTGCAAACCCCCGACTTTCACACCCTCCTGAGACCCAGACGATCCGGCGAGAAAGCACATTGACTCCGGGGGGTTGGATATTTTTCGTTGGCATCCATGCAGAAGAGCATCTGTGTCCCCTAGTTCAACTTCGAGTGGATCCCCAGCTTTAGCTTCAGACTAGTGACTAGTGTGTTAGAATAGGGTTTTGGGGGTTCCTTATTTTAATCACACAACAATGGCCCCCAAAACCCTATTCTAATTATTAAGGCCCCTCTATTAGACTCATCTTCCTGCTCTGCTCTTCGAACAGGCCCCTACTTAGGCCCTACGAAGGCCCCGAGCTTCCAGGTTGGCGTCAACCCGGGACAGAATAACGATGGGCCCAATCAAGCAGCCACCCGAAATCAACTTTTCGACCGTCAACTCTCCAATGGCATAAGCTCCTCTCCGGTGACCACGTAAACGGGCACTCGCATCAGCATCGGCCTGGTGGTAGGTGAGTGAGTGTATTTGGGGTGCAGGGCTTGGGTGGTCGGGCTTGTTGTTGACCACTCTCACGGTTTGGGGTTTCGGAGGTTGCCGGAATAGGGGACCTCTGGCATGAGATACCGCCGTCGAACTGCATCACCCTGGTCTGATCACACAAGTTGACAGGCTCCTCTTACCGTTTGAGCCTGCCAAATCACAACAAGCCTTCGCTGATCTCGTGCCCTCAGCTTCCCATCTCCCCTCTGAGTCAGCTCACGTGACGCGGCCCTTGTCCAGGAAGGCCTCCGGGCAAAGGTCAGTCTTGGGTTCCTACATGCGAAGACATGTTGAGACCCCTTGGAGACAGGCATGAGGCTCCTACTGTGCATGTGTCGGACATTGAATGTCTGGGAGTCTTCGTTGCATTGGCAAGTATTTCGAACCCGTGAAGGGCGTCTGCACAATCATGCATCCAATGCAAGGAGAAGCCCTGCGATACCTGTCACTCATTTGACCCTGCTAGATGACCATCAGCGCTTCGAGCTCAAGATCATATATTCACGTCCTAGGCTTGCAGGAAAGTTGAATGCATAAACAGATACTGAGAAAACAGTACAAGAATCCTAGATTCTGAGTTGCATAGTCAGCTTTGGACTCGGTCAAAACCACCACGAAGATCGGATATCTGCACGATATCCGAGCTTCCAAATTCCTGGACCGGAAATCGCGGCAGCCTCCAGAAACGTGCTGTGCCCTGTGGTCTTTCCACTGAGCCAGTCCTGGGGCAAGTTGTCTCGTCATTCTGTCACGACTCCAGATTATTATTATATTTTTGTTATACTATTGTTATATTATTATTCTTATATTATTACTATATTATTTTTATATTATTATTATATTATTATAGGAACTTTTTAAGGAATGTTGCAAAGCGCCGGCGATCTTCGGAGAGCAAAGAAAGCAGGAAAGCCAAGGACTTCCCTCCGCCGACAGTCAGCCCCTTAGACTGATTCAAGGCGACAGCTGGGTTTCGACATTAAAGTCCTTGCAGTTGCGACGAGACTCCGGTCCTTCCCCAGTGAGGGCGCGCAACCCGCTCTAGGTTCTTCGATGATGCAGACGAGACGAAGGATGGAGATGTGACGGTATTGAGGGTGGTCCCCGGTGAGGGCAGTTCCCCACCGGACAGAAAGGAGATGGAGGGTCCAGCCCGAGCGGACCTATACATGTGACCAGTAAGGGCTGCCAGCCCGCACATGGGCAATAGCATGTGACTAGCATGGGTGACAGCGGTCGCCCCGGCTCGCAGGTCAAGTTGATAATTTGCAAACTCCTGTTCCATCGACCTGACGCTGTCCGGAGAGGAAGGGTGTCCGAGTCGCGGGCACCAGGTCCGATTCTGAATCGTGAGCTTGGCATGATAAGGCTGGACGTAGCGGAAAGACTGCTGACTCAAGTCGACTCAGAAGTGCTGCGAAGCACAATCGAAAAACGCAGACGCAGACCAAATCCTGTGCTACCGATTTCGGAATGGACCCGGGCATTCCAAGACCTAACCCTGGGCAAAGTCCTTGCATGAGGAATCGACACACTGCCGCGGGTCAGAAGCCTTGGGGGCTTCAGCCGGGTTTCAGAAAAGAAGGGGGAGCAACCAATGTAGTGCCTAATACTGGCCCCAGGATCTTCAGAGATCCCCAAAATTCGAATCCCTTGCCGTCCTTCATCTTGGACGTGACCCCGCCGGTGAGGTAGAGTCCTCATGGCAGCCATGATCGGGTTTGGGGTGCGAAGCATATGGGTGTTTCTCTAAATTAGGGTCCCTTCTTGGGTCCCAAATATATTTCGGCATCCTTATAAAAGGACCCTTAAAGGGACCCTAATTTACAAAAACTACCCCTATATGCAAGTTGAATCACAAGTACATGGCGTTTGCGCCCAAAGGGAGGAGCGGTGAATTAGGGGCTTTCCGGCTCGCAAGTGTTATTGCATCTACCATTTCAGCTTCTCACAGTTCCTCGGCCTGATCTTGGTGCAGCTGGGTCAAGGGGCTTAGAGTTTAGGGGGTCTGATTTCCTCCGAGGCTTTCAGAAGCTCCAGGAGATCATGAGACCCCAAGCTACGGCCCGGGCCACCAAAAGGCATATAGGTCAGGGCGACCACGCCGGCCTTCCCGAATTTGGGACTTATTTACGGCTGCAGGAGTGGCAGTTGCGGGGTCAGGAGTGGCAGTTGCGGGGTCAAGGGCTGGCAACAACCACACCCACGGTGGCTGGACAGATCGTCTGAATTCGGGCCTTGTGAATGGCTCTGAACCAAACCCCCCCCCCTCAGAAGCCGACTTTCTTTCCTGAGCATGGGAAGCTCTACAGCAGTGCGACAACTGGCCCTCTCGAACCCCACAAAGCCCCCCGGAAAGATACCCCCTGAAGCATAGAACGGCGCTTTTCCCGCCACGCCTCGCTTCCGTAGGCCCCAGCCCAGATATCCACGGCCTGCTTGCTCAACTGGCAGATGCCTCGGAGGAGGGCCTCTGATTTTGGCTGCCCAGAGAGCCCAATACTCCTGTCCGTAATTAAGGAATACACCTTAAATCATAATTTTAAGACCCCTATAGTTTAAGGCATATTCCTTAATTAAGGGGTATTGGGCTCTCCAAACCCTTAGAAATCAAAGCCCTGGGGGTGGTCTCTGCAGACTTTGGCAGAGGCCGCGACCACTCGTAGCAGCTTTGGTGATCGCAGCCGGATCAAACGTCCTGGCGCAGGCGGAACAACGTGGAACAACGCCGACTGGGTTGGCCCTTCAAAGCCTCCGCAGAACATGCTAGAAGTGAGTAAAGATCCGCCGAAACCCGTAAAGGAAAATATAAATCTCCCAGCGCCCCACCTAGAAGAATGTAGCCGAACCTGGGCCCAGCACACGCAGCGAAACAGAAGCTACCATAAACCCAAACAGAAGCGGTGAGGTGATTTTTCCCTTCCCTTCCCGGCACCCCGGCCCTTACCCTAAACCCTAAACCCTTCCCGGCACCTGGGCCCTTCAATTGGCCCGATGAAGCTGCGGTGCACAGCCTTGTTTACCTGCCCATCGCTTCATAGTAACAATATAAGAATAGTCATAACATTAATAGTAATAACAATAGTAGTGGTAATTTTAATAATACTACAAACCATAATTATAACAATTATAGAAATAGTAAGTGTGGTAGTAGTAATAATCATCCGGATACAGGATGCGCTGATAAGCAGCCTATGACCTTTTGCGAGCAGTTGGGAGGTGCGTTCGTACTAGACTTACGCTAGTGCACCCAACCCCCAGATTGCGCGAGACCACAGTCGCCTTTAGGCGAGAGCACCTGACTCAGAGGCCTTGACGAGACTAGGGTTTTGCGTTTTGGTGTGACCCTTATTATAGTTTAATCTGGGGGCCAAAACGGGATGAATCTTTTCTTGGACAACTAGGGTCCGGTCTTAGCCAAGGGCAGAGGGTGGGGGATATCAGCTTGAGATGCCTAGAATCGGAGCTCAGTGGCGTCATTCCCTACCTGCTGATTCGGTAGAACGTCTTACACAGGTTCACAGCAGAAGCTTCAACTTCTCGTGCCAAGAAGAACAGGCTTTTCCAACAATGTCACACGACATGACCCGGAACGGAGATGTGCTAAAGCAGAGCCAACATAAGGACAAAAACCCAACAGCGAGTCACATGTCTGCCCCAAGCCGACAGACAGATCACCCAATCTCAAAAGTCCCAGCCTGTCAATGAACCTCCCACTCTCAAATCCGATGTTGCAAGCCCACTTGTCTCGGCCAGTCGGGAACGAACCCAGACTTACATGAAGCTCAGGGCCGAGTGCCGAAGGGATGGATATGAGTATATTGGTTGAATGACCGAGCGAATGAACGAATCAATCAATATTTGTTTGTATATATATATATACATATACAAATGTATATGCATGCAATGTCACCTATATAATGTGTAAATGTGCACATATACATACACACACACACATGTTATATAAATGCATATATCCAGAAATACTTATATATATATATAGAGAGAGAGAGAGATAGAGAGAGAGCAACAGAGAGACAGAGTGAGACACAAAAGAAAGAGAGAGAGAGGTCTTGTCAAGGATGATGCCTCGAGGCTGAGACGAGCATATCTGTTGGACGCTGCTCCGACCCGCCCAAACAAGCCCGGACGCGCGTGGCCTTCTCCGGATACTTCCACGCCAAGAACTCATAAATGTTCGCAATGCCTGTCCAGAGTTTTGGAAGGAACTTCGAATCTTCATTTCTACACCTCACATTATTAAACCTCGAAGCTAGCTTGGACCTCCGAGTGAAGGTCGATCCCATCCCACTGTCACCGAAGGAATGAGTACGTTGTGAGTAACTCACGCCATGGTCGTGTTGACATAGGCTTCAGCAGACCCAACATCTCGCACGGTATCATAATCCCAGTAAGGATAACAACAAGACTGCAAGAACTCGTTTACTAGTTGCGCTCACAGCAAGAATGATAAGAAATGAAACGCCACCAGCAATAGCAGCGGAACAGCTGGCAATGCAAGTACGTTTTCATGCTGATAACCATATTCATGATTGTAAGCGCTTATCTGCGAATGTATACAGGTATGGCAGATACATATATGTATAGCATATAATTACTTATATGTATAACACATACCTGCATATATGTATGTGTATATATATATATATGCGCACACACACACACACATCTATGTATATACATATATCTATATATGTGTGTGTATATATATATACACTTTATACATACGTATTCACCGCAAGGAAGAGTCAGCGGTGGAGCACCCTCACAGGCCCCCGCCTCGACCTGCTGCCACACGCTCCACGCTCACACGCGCCTCTCGAAAACCCGACTTCCCGAATTTGAAAGTGCCCTAAACCCTAAACCCTAAATCCTAAAACCCTACAGCCCTAAAGCCCTAAACCCTGAACCCTAAAACCCTAAAACCCTACAACCCTAAAGCCCTAAACCCTGAACTCTAAACCCTTAGGATGTGCAGTGGGGGTTTGAGGCTTCGTGCTGGTGGGCCTGGGGTTCAGGGGCTAAGGCTTCAGGGTTGTACTACAGGATGTAGGGTTTAATGGTCTAGGATCTCACGGTTTAGGGTTTAGGGCTTTAGGGTTTAGGGCTTAGGGTTTAGGATTTCAGGGTGTATGGGGGTTGGGGTTTGATTCAGAAGTTTGGGGGTTGCCATAAAGTTTAGGCTTTTTATGGTGCTTATCAGCATCCGCTTCGGGCAGAGAGTGCGGCAGAAGTCGCTTGTGCTTCTGGGAGCTTCTTCTTAAAGGGACATCTCCAGGTGTTCCCAAGATGTTGCGTGCATGGAAAGAGTCTTGACATACGGGCTGGCACCTCTGGATGGATTGTTGCCAGAAGGATCCCTCTTCAGCGGTCCCTATTGAGGTTCCTTAATTTTCTCGAACTCCACGTATCTTGGGAAAGGTCACCAGACAAATTCCGGAAAGCTCTTCCTAGGTTTAGGCCGGGTTCCCGGTTTCGGGGTGCAGGATCTGGGAGCCAGGGTAGAGTAGCCAGTAGTTTTTTGAGGACTTTAGGGGACTTCTGGTCTCAGCTTACTACGGAGTTCCCCTCTGTGCCTTGAAGTCCTAAAGGCTCCACGGTCTGAACCGCTGAGCTTTGCTTCGTCATAGCGAAGCGAGCCGTGCAGAGAAGGTTCCTAGTATCATGAGTAGTGTTGCTAATGATATATAAATTAAAAAAAAATATATATATATACACATATATATATTACTCTTCTGATTACTATGAGTGCTACTGCTACTGCTCTAGTTGCAGACTCCCTCCGTCCGGGGGTGTCGAGAAACCTTGGCTGGGAGGTCTTGCGTCTCATGCGGTAGCTCGGCATGTCCCAATCACAGAAAGCTAAGCCCTAAACCCTAAACCCCTAAACCGTGCACGCTGCTTCTAAAAACCTTGGGACCCGGACTTTCTCGCTGTACTTGATGAGCCTCGGAAGCTCTTGAGCTGACTTCAAGAGGGACTCTCTGGGCCCTGGGCTAAACGAGGGAAGATTAGATGAGGAGCTTGATGAAGGGTTCGGTTGGGGGCAATTCAGAAACAGATCACCAAAAAAAAGCGTCTGCATTGCCACATGCATCCTCAAAACCGCACAACAGTACTCCAAAGATCGCAACACCTCTAAAATACAAATCACCTCTTACTAAGCCCGGCGTCCTGCCTTCTGCACCCTGAAAGTCTGCAAGAAGTCAAACATCGATGGCACAGTTCCCAGCATCCAAGTCCAACACAAAGCCCTGCAAAGCACTCCGGAAGCCTCAAAAAACAACTTTCATTGCCTTCTCAAAGACTCCAAATTTAAATTCCAACCCTTCTTTCCGGACTCTTG